TCAAAGAAGATGAAGGAGAAGAAATTGAAGATATGAGATCAATTTTCGAACGACTGAGTTTAGCCTATACAAAAATTGGTAACTTGACGCAAGCAAGACGATTTGAAGAGCAAGCAACTCCTGGATCGGGGCGAATGCTGTTGATCAATGAAGTGACTTACATCTGTCCAAGATGTAAAGAGTCCGTCTCAATCTACTCAGCTTTTCGATTTATCAATGGCTTTCCTTGCTTTCAATGTGTTGTGCACTTTTTGATGGCGCTATTTTTGAACATTCGACGAAGACTGCTCGGTTAGACATGATGAAACGGGTCCGCCATAATGAATGGCAGTCTGAGTATCTTGCGATCATCTCCGTCAATTTTCGAACTATCGAGTTGCTTTCTTTTGCATTGGATTCGTCTTGAAATTCTCTATCAATGATAGGTTGACTGATGTTTCTTGAGTCATGCGGAACTTTCCACAGCCACCTGCACCGCCTAATTCATGAGAAAAACTGATCAAAAAATCAAACATGCATCACGCATACGCACCGATGTACATCAGTAATTGTTCTGGTTTTATACGATTCAGACCTGTGTTTTGATGAAATTCAAGCGTGCGTTCCACGTGTGATCGAACAGTGCAGAAAATTCTAGCTTGTTCCGTATTGAGTGAGAACTTTTGAACGATGTCAGGCATCGACAAAGTTTTGCAACTATTCGAAGAGAGACTAACTGACACCGTCGGTTCACTTTGTTGATTATTACACGCTTCAATCTCTGCGTCATTGAATGGCTGAACAGAACACATTTCATCCAGCTGATCATTCTAAAATACACAATTTAATCCTACAACGAATCTTCACATAACCATTGTTTACTGTTGAAAATTCTTCTCTCGAACCAAACAACATCGTTCGTCGGATTTCATCTTTTCGATTCTTTAGATCATGCTGCCAACCACGATTCTGTTGAATGTCTTCGAAATTGGCCTGCCGGGCCACAACCTCGTCAATCGTTGTTCTGTGTGAAGAAGTTATTGAATTGTTCGTCATTAATTCAGATAACCCGCTGACGTCCGACACGTGTGAAAAACGTTCAGAACAAATCACATTTGCTATTGTGGTATCCACATATTCGCGATTAATACGACCTCGCAATCCTTCGTGTTGAATCATATTTTGGTTGATCAAAGGTTGATCTGCAATCGTGCTTGCTTCTAATAGATCAAGGATTTCCTCGGATTCTTCCATGCTGGTATCGATGTATAATTGTGGTGTACTCATGGGCTTCGATACTATTGGTTTGTTAACCAATTGAAAGAGATCATCGTCACGGTCGCGTTTGCATTCGTGTAGAAGCTGAATATTGGATATAACTTTGTTCGATTTTGAACTGAACGTTGGTTGCAACATGATCAGTGCCCCACTCCATGATTGGTTCACATGACAAATATCAAATACAGTCGTCCAAGGATGAAATAGTGTTAAGATAGCTCGTGCGTATCTCTCTGCGGTATCTTCTCGATCCTCACGAGGGATAGCAGGACCCACTAAAACCGGAACCACAGCAAACGAACGGCGAATGAGCATATGAGTAGAATACTGAGGATGATCAACATGAAATAACCATCGATCGTTTAATGGTCTACCGCGAAGTATAGTTGTTGCTGATTGACTGTCACCTTGCAGTAAATTCTTGTCACGCAATGTCATCTTCGCTTTGCGGTATTCTGAGAAGAAAGAATAGAGACAGATGTGGTTGAGCAAAGGTGATCGCATTTGATAATCAACACGTCTATTGCAAAGAACTAGATGATCATCATCACATCCAGTTTCCACTTCAAAAGCTTCATCATCTTGAGGAGTTTCATCATCAATATCGCAAAAAGATTGCGATAAAACCGCTCCATCAGTATTATTGAAAGGTAGCTGGTTTGTGGTAATCATTGACTGGTCTCTCATCTACAATCCGCATACAATTGAGCAGTAATCACTTACAACAGAAACCAAGCTAGATCATTGAAACATTGGACATTAAGCGATATTTCACATTGGTTTGATGTCAATCGTATTCATAATGATATAAAAGATTTATATGCATTTCAAACAAGAAC